TGCGCTTTAATGACAAATAAATTAACACATCAAATTATTAAACACAAACAGCCTTATACCATGAAATCAGTCTTCCCAATCAATACTGGTTTGTCTGCAAGTATGTAAGAATGCCCAGTATATGTATTGATTAATCCCCAGTGGGGTTTGTATCATTCCCCCTGGAGTAGACTCAAATCTGCCCACCCAGTACATACATGATTAGTAGATACAAACCATTCAGAGAGATCAAGGACATACAAACAACCTGAAAAATATTAATAATTGCTGATGAAACCATTAACACATAATCAAATATCAGAAATCACTCATTTTAAATCACACCTTTGAGATATTTTATATTAGCAACCAGATTTGACCACAATAAATAAAAAACAATTGGTTGTTCTAGCATACTGCACTTTTTATATAATAACTGGTCTGGGCATTGTCTTTGTTTGGCTGGAGTGTGTGTGGTTGTAATACGTAATAAGTAAACACAGTATACAGCCATGACCTTTAAATAATTTTGGGCTGTGCACACTCCCAACATGATTAATTATCTCCCTGGTGCCCCTCCTTTTATTATTTAGTATATCACATGGGTATGTCCACTCATCTATGATATTGTGAAATTATCCATTGCACAATTTGTCAAATAATCTGGTCTAGGGGAAGTACCTGTTCTAATGTTGTCTACACATCATTACATTTTTACAAACAATGTGCCAGAATCAAACACTTATTATAGTTAATATAAAGTGTAAAAAGTCAGTCTATCCAGAATTGATAAATCAGTATATAGGCATATACTCATACGTTCAGTCTTCCTTTGTCTTCTATGAACACCAGTACAAGAATCTCTGTACCTAAGTTCCCAGCTCCAGTCTACTGCTATGGTTGTCTTGAAAATCTCTCTTATTCTGAAGGATTTTTCATACATTTTTATTGATGGCAAATGCAAAATTAGGATTGAAACTGCATTCCCCAAGAGTTGGAAGTAGCTAGTGAGTGATTCAACTAACCACTGTCCACACATTGTTTGCAAAATAAGAGGCAGCCTGATTTGCACTAGATTTACTATATGGCTAAAGGTACAGTATGTGGACACCATTCTAATTTATTGAGTTCAGGTGTTTCTGATGAAGGGTACTGTTAAATCTACAGCATTCAAAGAGACTTTAGACAAATGTGTACTTACAACCTTGTGGCTTGAGTTTGGGGGAGAACCTTTTCTGTTCCAGCATGTCTGTACCCCTATGCATAAAACCAGGTCCATAAAGACATAGTTTGATGAGTTTGGTGGGGAGGAACTCCAGTGGTCTCCAGTGGTGTTGACCTGAACTCAACCCTGGTCAACACCTTTAGGATGTATTAGAATGCAGATAGTAAGCCAGGTCTTCTCATCCAATATTAGCACCTGAACTCACAAATGTTCTTTTGGCTAAATGGGCACAGTTTCCCAGAGACACAGTCCAAAATCTTGTGGAAAGCCTTCCCACAAGAGTGAAGGTTGTTATAGTTGCAGAGTGGGGTATACAGCCATATATAATGCCCATGGTTTTCTAACAGCATTTCCAACAAGCTCATAAAGCTGTCATTTGGCTTTATAGTGTATGTGCCTGATTTTATTAAAAGAGAACAAGTGCTTGCCATGTATCTTTATGCTGTCTACCATAAAGGTGCAATGAGAGATCTATTAAATATGGCTAATGCTTTCTGGTATATTTCCCAAATATATCATCTCTGTGACAATATTCTATTGTTGCCTTTACATTTAGAGTAGATTCTTATAACATACATGTTTAAATATGTTTTGGTTTAGACACACTTTAACTGAACCATCCCCTTCAAAGCTGCATTCCAAGAGGCACAGCATCACCCTAAGGCAAAGTGACATGGACCTGAGCTTTAGACTGTCATCAGCATGAGGGGTCATTAGTGAAGGGTGTGAGGAAATAAGAAGGCAAAAATATGAAACACTTCTAAAAAGTGAAATGTGAAAGTACCACTTTTGGTAGGTCCTGATCACTGCAGACCGGGAACATTCCACAAGAACTGCAGTTTTGGAGATGCTCTGACCATCTAGCCATCATTGTTTTGGCCCTTGTCAAAATCGCTCAGATCCATACTTTTGACAATTTTTTCTGCTTCCAAGACATCAACTTCAGGGACAAAATGTTCACTTGCTGCCTATTTACATATATTTACATCAGTGGCGTCACAAGGGAGTTGCGGGGGGTGCGGCCCGCACCTTGGTGCCACCATTGGAGGGGTGACACCAAAATGACTAACAGTCATTTTGTTGTCACCCCCTATGAAATGTCGTGCACTCGGTCAAGGACCGAGATCATGACAGTGTCAGGAGAGAGGAGGGGACCTGGCGGCATACCTTATCCCACCGGGTGAACGTCCCCTCCTCTCTCTGCCGGCGTCCATCACCAAGATGGACGCCAGCAGGCGTAAAAAAAAGACCTGTGTACATGTGCGATTACGTCGTCACACGCGTGCGTGATGACGTCGCGGCGGAGTGTCACCTGGTCTCCGCCCCTGGGTGACACCCAGTCTCGGGATGCCACTGATTTACATTTATATATTATATGTAGCGAGATAATCAATGTTATTCACTTCACATGTCAGCGGTCATAGTGTTATGGCTGATCGGTGTAAAGGAGCTCCTAGTTGTACTTTAGGACCAACAAAGTATGAAGGTATTTGTAAAAAACCACAACAATGTGGCACCTCCATGAGTTATTATTACGGTTTCCTATATGCCACTTCATGTAATAGAAATAAAAATGCAACTACAAACTGGAAAGACAGCAAACAGCATGGTGGTCCTTGTACTCATTATTTCAAATACACAGACAATAAATGGAACATTGAAGTTTGATTTTAGATAGGTGACACATTTTAAACCATTACAGCTCATCAATTAGATTTAGATAAGTTTAAAACAATGGCCCTAAAGTGATTCTTCTATCTCTCGCATGTGTTTTAGATGTCAAATGCACAATAGAGTAGACGTCTATATAAGTACATACTTCTAGACAGTTTATTTGTATGTGTAAGGGGTTTTTTTTTTTATCTCTATGTACTACTATGACAATGGGGCATCCCTCTGTATGATAGTAGTGATATTAGTGATATCCTATTATGGAGACGTCAAGGGTCTATGAGAATCCATGTTCTGCTGTTTAAAAGGCTGTTTTGTCGAGATTTTGACAGCTGTGAACCCGAAAGTGTTCAAAGTTGATTACCCCAGGTTCATTCTCAGCAGAGAGAACGGGGACCATTCCCTGATCTATTTCTCCTGCTGGGCCATTCTGAGTGCCTCTGCACCAGTCGTCTCACCTGGGCATATCTGAATCCTATGTGAACCCAGGAGGTAGGTAGGGAGAGGGGAGGCACTGTACAACCACCGCTGACAACATCCACAAGTAATCAGCTGACTATATAGTAGCCCAAATCACTTGTACATTAAAACTGACAAATTGCATATTTAAAGAAAACAAACCCACAACCAAAATTTGCAGCTACAGGTTTGTTTTTATCCTCTCAGTGATGATATGTCATATGAGTCCCAAGCCCCCAAAAAACTGGCAGGCATGCAAAGATGTCTGTGGTAGTTTGAAGAAGTAAGGGGTATGCCTTTCAGTTTGTTTTGAACCTGTTATTGTTAATGTCAGTATAAATACTTTCTGGGCAGGATAAGTCAGGATAGGTGTACACACAGCTGCTTTATTACTGGGATAGTCAGAGAACACTGTGAGGTGACTGCAACAGGAATGTGCACCTGCCTGTTATATCAAGCTCATTGCTGCCTATTTTAACGATCCTATAGAGAATCACCACATATGCAATCTAAAGCTGGAACTTATAGTTCCTTACCTATTCATTATGCAGCCCAATCCTAATAAATGTATATAACACATTCTTTACTACCTGTTAAGGTTGCTAAGAGCTCTTAGCAACCTGTGACTCTCTGGCCGGTATCCCGCCCAGCCCACTGATGTCATTGATTGCCAGGTGCTGAGCAGGACACTCTGGCTGGTGTCCCACCTTGTAAACATGTGCTATTCATTTTGTTCCGAATCAAAATTCATACAAATTTTCAGAAATTCGGACATTCAGCCACATCCAAATTTCCGGATCCCAATGCATCTGAATGTGTCTGAATCAGAATTTCCGTTTCCGAATTTCAGATTTCGTCCGAATTTCGTTCAAAAACTAAACTGAATCGGACATGTGACTTTTCTGGGCAATCAGATGTGTTTTTCGGTGTAATGCATCGGAATGGGTAACAAGAATTTTAATTATGGCAACATGGGAGCCATATACAGTATATACATATAAAGCTGAGGCTCCAAGAGCCCAATGGCATTCGGGATCCGAATTTCCGAATTGCATTCGGGAGCTCCTGAATCCCATCCGGGTCTGTGAGCCTCAGCTTTTGTAATATATGTATATGGTTCCCAGACCCAAATGGCATTTGGGAGCTCCCGAATGCAATTCAGAAATTCGGATCCAGAATGCCATTCGGGTCTAGGAGATTCAGCTTTAAGTCAACAGACCTGCTAAATGGCTGGATCATACAATTTGGCTATACACAGGAGCTGGGATCTCTTATATATAGCTAAATCTAAGGTGACCATACACACCAATTATCAGATGACTTCATTCACTCACTCAGATATTGAATAGCCAGGATAGAAGTTGAGGCTGCAAAAGGGCCTTATCAGAGCATGCATGCAGTTCTTGCATGACTGCCCCGTTTGAGTTTTGTACAATCCAGGCTGCCAATGCATAATATCTGAACTGGTCAGATTTATTCATCACGGTTATTAGCCCATAATTTTGTAGATAGCAGCAAAAACTGAGCAGTGTTGAGCAGGCAACCTGTTAGTGTGAGGTTATTGAGCATTTAGTGGCATAGATATGGGCAGGGTGATTGCAATAAGCTTGCAGTGTGAGCCAGAGGCATGCAGGTGGTCAATATGTAACTAGGTGCCAACTCTTACCAGTCATTTTCTTGGGACGTCACTGGCTGTTCTCTCGCAAGGGGAAGTTTCCACGCTGTTGACAGATAGAAAAGAGCATGTGATACCAGCAACCATGGCACATAAATCCATATGGTCACAGTGAAAAACAATCTGTTCGCATACAAAGCAACGTTAAACACATTGGTCTGCTTACACAACAAAATAACACAAAAAAGAGATAATAGGAATGTGACCAGCCCAAGGTCACACAAACATTCCAGGTGCACTCAGCCAAGAATCTACTTTCATTGTTGCCACCCAGGAGATGTTTCGCAACTGAAGTGAAATCTGCAGTACAGACAGAGGCCATTCACAGCATATTGCATACAATGGACAGAAACTGATCATTCTAGTATCTCCAGACATGACAGCTCCAAAGCGGATAGCAGACATATGATCAGTGCAGGGGAAGAGTGCACAGGGTCTATTATGAAAGTAAAGGACATAAAGAGAGAAACAGAGAATTTACAAGTATCCCAGAAAATAGAGAGCGCGCGGTTGCTGCACGCAGAGAGTGTTAGCACCACCCCAAATACTTTCTACTCGAGACACACAGCTTATTACTTACCACTGATCTCGTCTGTACTATGCTCGAAGCCTGCACCTTCAACACCTGTGAGAGGAGGAGCAGGGGGAGGAGAAAGAGAAGCAGGAAGTATCTCCAATCTACCTGTATACGGTATACTAAATAGGAAGCTGTACTTCCCCTGACTGCACTATGATGTGCAAATACAAAGCCTCTATCTTCGTCATTGCATCCCTACTATCTATTCTCTCTCCACAGATACTACCTAAATTTCATAAGGGTTGTGTTCCCCAACCAAATTTGTAACACAATTTATACAAAGGTTGAAACACAATAATTATTGCTTATTTTTGTAACTCGGTGTAACATTATAATTATATACATAAACCTATACAATATTACCGGGCACAGCTTTCAACACTCTCTCATTTGGAGGGATTGTCCCTCTTATGGAAACAAATCCCTCTGTCTCTCCTTTTGGACTGTTTGAGGAACTTCACCCCCCATTTAATTTGTTATAATCCTCTCTTACCTAATGCTGGGTTGTCCTCAAACCATACTTATTGGCAAATCCAGCGTTGTCCTACTGTGATCTGCGTTCTGCTGCCACACAACAGCTCGGGTGCCACCATTTTCTTCCTGCCATGGCACCGATGTCTAGATTGGCGCTCTAACAACAAATGTGATATTTGTTGGAGAGAGCCCATTCATTCCAAAATTAATTGTTAAGATTAAAAGAAATGTTAGTTTTAAGTCTCTGATGGCATTGTGGAATGTTCTGATGACATTTTTCATAAGAACTTTCATATGAGAATCTACCAGTGGATGGCCAGCTTGGGGTCTAGGAGGGTGTGCTCTGTCAGCGTTGCAATTTGTTTTGAATGAGTGTCTGTGCTGTGTGTGACAGTTTTAATTGGTGTGTGTTTGTGAGCACAGGGTAACAATGAAGGGGTAGAATCAGACACACAGGAGGAGAATGTAACATTGTTAAGGAGAAAAGTACTGATGACAGCAAACAGGGTGAGTTCTGCAAAGGAAGAGCCTGAGAAGAAGACAGACAGAGAGATGAGAGTATAGCTAAATGAGTGCTAGATGAGCACAGTGTCCTTTTTGTTTTTCTGCTAATACAGGGTACAGAAAGAAAGAATAATTATGTGTACTGGAGGGGCCAGCTGGATAACTACATATATGTGGCATCATGGAAGTGGGCTTTCTTCCGTGGTGCTGCATATATATAGCATGCGTTAGTGCTGGGAGTGTGCTCAAGCGCCTACCCCAGCAAAGAGACCAAGCTGTCACCGACAGCTCCTGATCCCGAACTAACGATCGGACACCGGGAGAACCAGCCCTATTCACTGTGATAACCACATCGCAGTGCTCACTAGTAAAAGACACCTCCCTCTGTATCTCTGTTAGAAGAAAGACATACAATGCTTCAAATAAACTATGGTTGGTGCGTCAAATATTTGGCTCAGGGAAACCCAAATGCACCAAATAATAGTTCAATTTGAAGGGCTTGAAAAATGTGACTAGAGCACCAGTTGTAAAAAAATATTTGCACAAAAAGTCTCACAATTTGCACCAAATAAATAATGGTTCACAAAATGAGTTTGTCAATATTTGTTGCAATAGAGGTGTGCAGAAGTGTGCCAATAGGATGATGGCGCAGGAGAGTTGCACGTTTTACTTTGCACCTAATAAACTATATGAGGGGAATTTATCAAAACTGGAGCTGTTGCCTATGGCAACAAATTAGCTTCTTTCTTCAGTTTGTTTAGTTAGAATTTGAAAAGAAAGAGAGAAGCTGATTGGTTGCCATGCACAGCTGCTTAGTTGTTCTTAAATGTTATTTTTCTTTTTACGATTATGGTACAGTTTTCCTTTGATAATAGAAAAATGTTCAGAGATATCCAGTAACATTTACAAGCAAATGAAGGCCCAATTTGTCTTGAAAGAAACAAGGAATAATTCACCTGGATACACTAAGTAGTTGCAAAGAAACAGTATGTACAGTTCTACTAACATATGCCTAAATTGCAAGTTTGGGTCTAAGCGTTAAGGTTTGTTTTTACTTTCATCCTGATGGGGTTAACATCCATCCGTCTTCTATAATCTATTTTTGTTGTGCCGCATATCATTGTTAAATTACAGCACTTATTACCATAAAACTAAGCACCCCTAAGTCATATCAACGTTGAGTATATTTGTTCGGTTCTACATACCTGAAAGGCCACAAGAGGGCACTAAGAACTTGGTGTATACGTGGACTAAAATCACTGACACAAAAAGGAAGTGTACCAAGTAATATAAAAAGAAACTAAAAATGTAACTTACAAGTACATAAAACACAAAAAAAGAACATAGTTACAAAAAAGCAGAAATAATCAACAACTTTTCGCTAGTGCATATGCAACAATCAATAGAGATTAGTTGCACCACGATTAATTGCTATTAATTGCTATATATACAGTTGCATGTACAGTAGTAGCAATTGATTACACAAATTTAGAGCATTGTGCTGCCATTGGGGACTAATCATTACTACATGCTATGCTATATTGTCCCCTATGTGTAGCAGTTGCCAGTGAATAATTGCAAATGAAAATCATCCGTGTGCTCCTAGCCAAAAAAACTAAATGGCAAAAATCTAAATCATAGCACATAAACAGTATGGTTGATCTATGTAAGCATACTTTGGAAAGTTACTGTACTGGCAATGCTAGAAGGTGCAGTATGAAGCTAATACAGAACTGTTATAGTCAATCCAAAATAACCATAATTCTTGGAAGTACACACAGGGTCATGCGCCTCAGGTTGCATGCATCTTGTGGCGGGTCAGCAGGCAGAGTGGCATAGCCACTCTATTGCACAATGTTCGCAGTGTGCCTGCCGCCCCCTTCCTGACCAGAGCGTCCCAGGTTTCTAAGAGCTGGCAAGAAAATGTGTAAGGGCCATACACATCTCCCAACCCAGTTCTTAGCAACTTGGGCTGCTCTGGCCGGTATCCCGCCCAGCATTAAGGAATGCTGAATTAAGGCAACCCATTTATTTAGAATGGACTGGCATTCATGTTTGGACAAGCCAAAATATAAAACTTCTAGTGCCAGACTTTACCTTATAAATGTACATGCAAAGCAATTGTCACCCATGTAAATAGAAAGTGGAAGAGAAACAAGAACATAGCTGCCAAATGTCTCTCATTTGGAAGGCCTGTTCCTGTTTTAGAACCAAATGCCTATGTGACTCATTCCTCCTCCATTTGTCACTCTTTTGTAGACTAATGTATAGAACTTTATAACAAGAAATTGCGCTATTTAACTTACAAACATTTTATACTTCTGTAGCAATTACCCTCTAAGGAGCTGCTGGGTGTTATGGGCCCTCCTAGCCTTTCTATTGGTGATTTGACCTACAAAACTCAAAATACATACCAACCCACCAGCGGTGACCAAATGACCAATACCCACTATGTCAATCTTTTTGTGAAGTTTTTATTGGCTTAGTGTCCAGGGGACAAAGGGTTACAGGATACCCAAAATAATGACCAAATATTCCCTCCATTTAATATAATATCTTCAGCCCCTTTCAGAGGCTAACAGTGTGCCTTTAAGCAAGACCAACAATCTTCCGTTGTGTGCCTTTAAACCTAGACCAGCAATGGACTAAACTCCCCTTTAACAGCCACCTTTCTGTTTTCCAGGCCCCAGCATACACAGTCTTCATTTCCTTAGGCCATGACTCTGGAACTGAGGACTCTTCAGACAGAAGGCCTGAGAGGTAAAATATTTCTTCTTTCACCTGCTTCCCAGACAAGGCTTAGGAGGGAAATACCATTCTAGAAGAACTATGTATCTCTTTCCCCAGCCTGCCTCATTGGAAATAAACCTCCCAGTGACTTGCCAAAGTGAAATGAATATTTATGACTCATAACATTGTATTTTCTTGCTGTATCTACTGGAGAACACTCCCCAGGAGCAGACAGAAGTAAACAATGCCATACAGTTACATGGAATTCAGGGATTGCAGAAAATACAAACAATCAGTGCTCAGGCTGGTTACAGCCTAGCTACCTACTAAATTTGGAAAAGGGATACTTCAGCCTATGGCAGGGTCACCAAACTACACTTAAAGGAGAACTATGGGGTCAGTGTTTTTCCCCATAGTTCTCCTTAGGGTAACGGGAGGACACAAACTAGCGTCCTCCCGTTACCCTAAGCTCAGCTACAGCTCGCGGTATAATCCAACTTCTAAATTAATGAATTTGTAATTTTAAAACACTAAGAAAAGTGGGGGGAAAAAAGCGCTCATGGGCTTAGCTAATTATTTTTTGTGCATTAAGGTGTATGTAAAAGCAAACATTTCTTTTGTTTTTAGTTTTTGGTACAGTAGAAAAAGGTTAGGTCCTTTGCCATGTTTTTATTGCTGTATGTGTCCCTGCCCCCTCTGTTGGTGAGGGCAAATCAAAACATTTTGAGTGGTCACAGAGGAAGAGGTAAGAGAAAATCTTCAAAAGGAAACGCCTGTTCCTGTGCCAACACTCTAAAATGGGAATTCCATTGACTTTGGAGAGATTTCCTCTCATATCCTGTTGTGTCTCCAGGACATGAAATGCAGCACCCCACCTCCCAACTTTCTGAGATGTAAAAGAGGAACCCCTTAAAGTACAAATATGTTAACATAGGACACAACCCCTGCCACACCTCCAGTGACATGGATCACAAGAAATAATCTGTAAAAAGCGATTGGTTAAACCCACAAGTGTGCTATGATTAAGGCCTATTTTGCTGAAACACATTAACAGGACAGCTATATCTGATTTTTGTGCCTTAAAAAAATAAGATTTTTTTTTTTTTTTTTTTTATGTTGTTGAAAGATATCGAGGACCTTAGTCGGAGTACTAGTATGGGGACCTGCTGGGGTGCGTAAGCGGACAGGTTTGAACGTTGAATCTAGACGCTTGAGTCTGGTTGCTAGTAAGGAATCAGCTTTATTGCTCTTAAGGTAGAATTTGTGGGCAGTGCGGTGAAGTTGCTTGGCGGCATGGTCTGTGAGTAGCAGGTTTAAGGCTTGGCGGGAGCTTATATCTCTCTCACAGGTAGGGTCAACGCTATTAAAATTATGATCCTGCCGAAGATGTTATATTTGTTTCAAACCTTACCTATACATCTACCTAATCACTATCTGAGCACCCTTAAATCGGTTATAGGGCGATATGTCTGGCGACGAGCTTCTGCTAGGATTGCATATAGAACCCTCACTTTGGCTAGGACGGAGGGAGGTCTAGCACTACCAAATCTTACCCTGTATTATCAAGCTGTAGCTCTCAATAGGGTGCTAGATTGGCATCATCACAGTAAAAGTAAATCGTGGGTGAAGATAGAAGAAACTCTTTTAGGACAACTCTTATTGAATACATGTTGGACACCCAGGCCCCTATGGCAAAAAGACCCTGGGATATCCCCCCTGACTGAGCATACTCTAAATATTTGGGACAAGTTGTATGTGGACTTGAATGGCCAGTATAACTCACCACTAATACCCTTAACGGGCAATAACTACTTCCCACCGGGGAAGCATAATAGTGGCTTTTTGCACTGGACTACATCATCCAGAGTAGAGTATTATAGAACAATGGAAGAACTGACGGCAATTAAGTACGACCAATATGAGAAATACGAAATTAAATGGCAACCGTGGAGAAGGTTTGGGCAGACATTGGGGGCGGCGGAGGGCTCATAATGATAAAACAGTGATCAGCCGCGCGCATGCGCCCCAATAAATAAGATTTTAACTGGATCCAGAGCCATGTGCAAACACGCTTTTCTACTGTTTATGACAAATGGCTGGTGGAAGCCTTGGTTGTGCACTGGTGTTCTGTGGAACTGCATTGAGGGACGGAGGTGGAGCAGTTCCTGTTTGTCTTGTGAACAGGGCCATCCCTTTCATGAGGCAGCCTGAGGCTGTTTCCACAGGCGGCATCTCTTTGGGTTACGTGGGGGGGGGGGGCATGCTTGTTGTACAGTGGCCACTCTGCTTTACAATGCTGCCTCCTTTCCAGCAGACTGTCCCAGGTTGCTAAGAGCCGAGCAGGGAGATGTGTAAGGGCCAAACACATCTCCTCGCCCAACTCTTAGCAATTTGGGATGCTCTGGCTGGCATCCCGTCTAGCTCCTGGCAACCAGTGATATCACTGGTTGCCATGAACTGGGCGGAACACCAGCCAGAGCATCCCAGGTTTGCAGAGGGTCACTGTCATGCACCATCGCACAACCCCCTGCCTCCTCAAGCAGCAAAAAGTCTAGGGAAAAGTGCTTATTTTCCAATGCTTATTTTCCATTATACTGGCCTTTGGAAAGAGCAAATGCAAAAATGTAAGGGTTGGATTAAAGGTCAAGTGCAGTAAAACTCTTTTGATACATGTATAACAATTTTTTTTATTGAGATATAAACATCGGACCAAAAAAGAGGGACAAATGAGGAGGAAAGAGGGACAGTTGGGAGGTATCCTTTTGGCTTGGCATACTCTTTAATTCTTCATGGTCTGCTTAAATTGGGGTGTGGCAGAGGCAGGGAATTTGCCTACATACCTTGCCCTAAATCAGGAGTAGCCAAACTCTGGCCTCCAGCTGTGGTGGAACTACAAATCCCATGGGGCATTGTACGATTCTCACAGCCACAGACATGACTCCCGGAGAGAGATGCCTCATGCGATTTGTAGTTTCATCACAGCTGGAGTTTGGCTACCCCTGCCTTAAATAGTGGCTTTCCTTTCCCTATTAAGAATCCCTCTTTCATACACGAGGATCTGATTCACTAAAGGAACAGATTTGTTAATGTAGCAATGGGGATGTTCACTTTGCAAAGTGTATGTTTGCTTTGCAAAATAAATGTTAGTAAACAAAGTCGTTCCTTTTAAATGCCCAATCATGTATTAGGCAAATAACACACGCTAGCACATGACTGTTCAGTCAGTGGCCTTTATGCCTTCAGTAAATTAACCCCAGACAGTACAACTGCTAACAGAAGAGTAAGGAAAGTGTGATAGACAATGTCCAGCTGTTATAGTACGAGATAGGAACCCCCTGAAAGGGTAAATGTGACATGCCCACAACTAGCGCATTGTCCAGTAGAGGGCAGCCCTTCACTGCTTCTTATCCCACATTCACGAAATCATTAGTGCCCCCAGGGAGCAAACAAGAGTGAATGTTTGAGGACACTGTGGGGCAGAGGTGTGTGAATGAGCAGTAATAAAATAACAAGGAATGTCATAGACTGTATGGGTAGCAGTATCATATATCAGTGGCTGCGTGCAGAGACAGGTGGGCTTAGTTCAAGAATAGTACAAGGGGCTTCCCTACCAATGCAGACCAAGAGACTTGAGACACTGCCATCACGTTTTCTTTTTTTACAAATAGCTGTGTGTGTGTATATATAATGGGACCTGAACCTAAAACCATACAGCTTCTTAGGTATCCATTCAGAGGTAATTATAAAATGTATGATTTTATTGATGTGACGCCACACTAAAGCAATCAGAGGGTTAAGATGTCTTAAGATGAGCTGGGGTAGGAGGGCCTGAGTATTTGTGTCCCCTGCCACGTGATTGGCTGGTGGGGGTTTGCATGTCCTTACTGAGCTAGACATCAAATGACCAGGGTTCCCCCAGCATATTAATACCCCCCTCAATGTCCATCACTTGCAGTCCAACCCCTGCTTCATTCTGAGGGCTCCGTCCACAAGGGACAGGTAAGAGAAAAGCCTGGCCAGGGAAATAAGGCACCCTAGGGCTTGTGTTACAGCAAACTAATCCTCAGAGACAACTGTATGCAATCCATGTATATATCAGGGGGAGACAGAATGACCCCAAAACAGCTGGCAAGTGGGCAACTGTTATGTGAGCTTACGTGCAGAGCTTATAGGGACCAAGCCTCGGCCATTCCCTAATACCGAGAATACAATCGTATCATATTCCCTATCAACATATTCTTCTTACAACACCAGTTTCACAAGATCACCATTTCCCGGCGAAGGACATGCAGTGTAATATTACATTGCATAAGGGTAGATTTCATATTATAATTAGTGTAAGGAAGAGTTGTTAATTAACTACAGAAATAACTAACCTAAACATATACTGTATATATATGTTGCAAAAAAAAGATTCATGTTCCAAATATAAATGATAATAATGTATTCAGTATTGCAGGATATATTTGTATTTATCATTACTAGCACCGCCAGTATAATCACCAAGCAGATGTGAGCAGTGTGTGTTGAAATTGAATTTCAACATTGGGTCGGTAAGACTGTCAGATGTATAACACATTGGCGGCCACTCATAGAAACGGTGCTTGCAACAGTTGCATGAAATACAGAATTTCTGTTCTTTACTAAAAAGCGCTATCTTGCTAATGACATACCATGATAGTTAAAACATAGTCAAGTGGAGCTTTATTTATAAGTTACACCTTGAAAGAGAAAAGAACAAAACACAATGAAACTGGTTGGTTTTCACCCTGCATACGTTTTTATGAATGGTCATCATCTTTTGAAATTCTTATCATATATACCCTGGAAACCTGAAGCTGGGTAAACAGGGGAAGAAACTGTTGTATGGTATGGCTTGGCACATGAATTGTAGCATCGGGAGAGCTGTGTTGGCCTTGTAAGAGCTCTGACACTTTAAAAAAATGTCATGCCATATGCTGAGCTGAGATATACTGTAAGCAAAGATGAAAATAAGCTGGTCCTCATGATGCTGCCACTCAAGCAGCAATTTTGTACTGTCACATCACTGAGCATTGTACAGGGCTGAGTTTGTTCATAACAATCAGATCTCTATAAGTGTAGCTACCTTTAGTCTTGAGGTTCTGAAGCTGTGGTATAATGATTGTTGGTATAACAGAGAAGGTTGAGTGCCACTGAAATAAATGACTGCTTAGAGTTAAAATGATTGATCAGACCAACCCCCCGATGTCGTCTATTAGAAGCATGTACTTATATTGAACAGTACGCCATATTTCTTGTGAGAAGCACTTATCACACATGTAGGGGTTCTCAGGATCTTCTTGCTTGGTGTATTAAGCATGACAGAATGATTGTTCCTGATGTTCCTGATTTGTTTTACTAAAACAGTAGAGAATGGTCACATAATAAAGCCAATAGGCTATTGGGCACTCAAACTGAACCTGGCTCCGTTTTGCTAAGTGAATATTCTCCTTTAGTAAACCGCCCC